CCTGGTGTCCTTTGAATTAGGTGCAAATGGGATTTTGCATAAAATCGGCGGATACTGGTTCGCGAATGCAAAAATGCTCCCTATCCCATGCTAAGAGCGCGCAATGGAAGACCCATGAAGTAACTTGGGGTTGGCGTTTCAGAGAAATTGGTCCTGAGGCGCCCGCAGGTTGTGACCGCTGGAACTTGGTTAGAGGACAAAGACTGAGATTTTGTCTGGGCACGTGCTATCAGCCTCGTCCCTCTCGACGGAGAAACGCGAGACGGCGCCTTCCCGCCGGAGGCGAAAGGGAGGAGTCCCAAAGTCGCCCTAACCCGGTCCTTTACCTTTCAGAGTTCATTGATTCCGGCAAGCCCTTAGCCAAGCGTGCCATCGAGCCTTTTTGTGATTTTGCTAAGACTACCTAACATTCAACTCCAGGATAACGGAACAAACCATTCTGATTGTAAAAACGATATTGCGCATTAAAAAAGGGATGTTTTAATTTGAGTAGGTGGCCCCTGCTTCTTTTTAAGACTCCCTCTCGAGCTGTGCATATTTGGTAGTCCCCTTGAGTTAATTATTTTTCCATCTGCCTGAGAAGGCACAATGATATCTTACCTATCCTCAAGGAAAGCATCCAGCAGTTAGACTGTCTAGATTCATTGGTAATTGGGTAGATACTTTGTTAAAGAAATGTACTAGAAGCTGAGTCATTCAGTACTGCAAGGGAGAAAGGAGAGCTTGTGCTCAATACAGGAAATGGGGGAAGGCCAGGAAACATTTATTAAGGCGTGCATCTCTGCAGGTTCAAGAAACAAACCGATCTCACTCTTTAGTTTAGTTACTTTAAGGCCTGAAAGAGAGCCCCAGTCCTCAAAAGATGAAGATAACCTTCTGCATTATCTACAACTGTGGAATCTCCCCAGAGTTTCATCTGATTGCTCTCCAGCCAGTTATAAAATCTGTAGAAAGTTTTTAATTATTAAAAATGTGAATATTAAAATTATATTTTTAATTTGTTGATGGACTTGAAAGCCCATCTAAATAGAATGTAAAATTGTAAGTTTGGCCTTTTCCTGGAAATACTATTTAAAACAAACTTATTTGAATTCAGCTTGGTATCCAAGGAATAAAAAGTTCATTCGACAATTCTAATATCATTCATGTGTGCATGTTCTACCTTTCATTTGGGAGATTCTGGCAAATATTGTTCATGCTTATATGTCCTCATTCACTCTTCTGTGTTGCACAATTGTTGCTTTCTCCACCATGGCATTAGTTTGCATTATTGCACAATCGTTTAATTTTTGTGCACTCTAGACTAGCAACAGGAAACAAGGGAGCACAAGGTGATTATGAAGATCTGTTAAAGCAACCTCTCCCCCAAGATATTTAGTTACAGCACATTAGCATCATCTTTTGTTCTGAGATTTTTTATTTTCTTTTATCTTTTGCGAGATTATTTTATTTTCATACAGGGAAATTTCAGTCTCATGCTAAATGAAGATGCCACATGAATAGAAGGGCCACTATAGTGATTATTTTATTATACACACACACGCGCGCGCACACACACACAAATACACTTTTTGCTGGAAGGGCAGTTCAGTTTGTGAGAACCCTTTCCATCACAGACTAGGATTAGGCTGGAGAACACCAGATGGATGTCCTTTCAGAGAGCTGGTGGCAGGAACCAGGGCATGAGACTCCAGAGTGCTTCTGAAAGAGGAGATTTTAATCTTCTATTCCCTGGGTCCGTTTATCTGCTGCATAGAAATATTTTGTCAGTGCTCATTTTACATATTATGGCAAGTGATTAATGGACAAATGTGAATATATAAGGGTTCCACACTAATATGCTATTTTACAATGATTAGGGTGCTTCAGAACTACAGATTAAATGAGTCAAGATGGATTAGCTGTATGTCAGCAATAATTGCTGTAAAGATAAATGAGTTACAGTATTATGCTTTCTGGCTCTTTCAGATTCTAAATATGAGTTTGACATCTGCTTCACATCTGTGCAGAAGAGGGCCATCCGGACCCTCTGGACCGTGCTGGATATCCTTGACCAAATGTGGTTACCAGTAGTGAGGACCTGGCGTCTCAACGAAAGGCATTATGGTGGTCTAACAGGCCTTAACAAGGCTGAGACAGCTGCTAAACATGGTGAAGCCCAGGTCAAAATATGGAGGCGTTCCTATGACATCCCTCCACCTCCAATGGAGTCTGATCACCCTTTCTATAACACCATTAGCAAGGTAAAATGAGGTACTAATCTATTAATCTGATGAAGATAGCTGTTGCTTTGAGGTTATTTTAAAGTAATTGTCATGCTGGGATTAGGATATAATTATTGTGTAATTTCGTTTGCATTTTGCTTTTTTTGATTTCTGACTCAAACTATAGTTCCATTGTAGTTCACTTTTATCTTGTTTGACCTGTATTCATATAATATTCTCACTGGCCCACTGTTCTGGGCTTTCTGTGGATATGATTACATTGCTATATGTTTTGAGCAGAATTTTAAAATTTTAGAATACACATTGCTTTCATGCAATTAATCATTGACATTGGTCATTCATGAATGTTTATATTCTATGGATGGGAACAGTCAAGGCTATTCTTAAACTGGCAGAATTTTCCATCTATGCAATATTTGTTAATGAATTAAGAAATAGCTAGAGCGTTGGCCTCACATGCCGTTTTAAACTTTAATAGGTTTTGATGTACTGTGGTAATATAATTAATGTAGGATATTATTTTAAATATTTAAAGACTAGTTCACCAGAAAGCTACATAGTATAGTTAAACTGTGAATAGGGCTACTAAAGAGGCAATCAATCCAGATAAGTTTGGGTATGAATCCAATGAGTAAATGATATTCAAGGCAATTTTTCAGTGGCTGAAGATAGTAACAAGTTAAGACATTATTTAATGTTATACAACTTCATCAGGCACCTTAAAATTATTTATTGCCTAACATATGGGTGACAATAATGATTGTCACAGTAGCAGTTCTAAAAATGTCATTGAGCGGGGATTACAAAAAAATTACAATAGCCTATACCAGTGGTGGCGAACCTATGGCACGCATGCCAGAGGTGGCACTCAGAGCCCTCTCTGTGGGCACGCACGCCGTTGCCCCAGCCCCGCCTCCCCCGCACAACCCCCTCACCAGCAGCCTGCCGGAGAGGCTCCCCCAGGTGCGACCCACATGGAGCAGCGCAGTCAAGCACATGGCAGCCGGGCAGCAGGGGCAAGACTCTGCCCTCGCGCCCCATGACGCTGCGGGGTGTAGGCGGAGGGTGTGGCCGCCATGGCGCTGCAAAGCTGCCTGGGCGATCTGTGGTGAGTGGCCCTGTGGGTGGGCGGAGCAGGGGCAGGGCAGGCCAGTTTTTGGTCACCCAATCTCTAAAAGGTTCACCACCACTGGTCTATATGATCACTTAAGTGCCTAAAGTATGGTGTCAAGCAAACAGGTAGTTTGAGACACAACTTTTCTAAAGCATTTTTTAAAATGAAGTACAGGAGTCTATAACAAGTCTTGAGAAAATATGAATCAATCACTGTGATTGTTGCTGCTGCCTTTCCTACTCTAGGATCGCCGCTATGCTGACCTTACTGAAGATCAGCTACCTACATGTGAGAGTTTGAAAGATACCATTGCTCGGGCACTGCCCTTCTGGAATGAAGAAATTGTTCCTCAGATCAAGGAAGGCAAGCGAGTGCTCGTTGCTGCCCATGGTAACAGTCTCCGAGGCATTGTGAAACATCTAGAAGGTAAGTATTCTGTTTGTAACTTTGGAACGAAAGCTGATTTAAGCCTGACTGAATCTAAAAAGTTAGTTGAAGCAAAGCTCTCTGGTAATAGGTCCTGAATAGGATAATATAATCAAGCTTTTTACTTTGTCATACATTTTCATTTATTTTATTCTTTGCAGGAATGTCTGAGGCAGCAATCATGGAACTCAATCTGCCCACTGGAATACCAATAGTCTATGAGCTGGACAAAAATTTGAAGCCTATCAAGCCTATGCAATTCCTGGGAGATGAAGAAACTGTCCGCAAAGCTATGGAAGCTGTGGCAGCTCAGGGCAAAGTTAAGAAATGAGGGCAGGCAAAGTAATCAGTAGTATAACCCCTTTCCCCTTCCTAGCACATGCCTCAAGGGACTGGGCTGAAGAGCCAGAGATGGTGAAGTTTATGAGAGCCATGGCTTACCCTTCAACATTCACATTTCTCCAGCAGGATCTGGCTAGATATTTTAGAGGTGTGGACCATAGATCAGCAGGGTTACTGACAGAAACAAATCCCAAAGCAATGAAATTCAATGCTGCTGAACTGAAGGGGAGACCAAGGTTTTCCCAAAAGAACCTTTGCTATCTTCACATGAGAACTCCAATTAGTCAAGTATTGTTTCACTTGGTTTTGCCATTCAAGATGGTTTCAAGGACCAATTTGAATTTGTTTTTTTATATATATATTTTGCATAGGCAGCACACCATTTCACTTAAGCTAGATGAAAAGCCAATTCTTATTTCATTGCTTTCTGAATGTAGGAAAGAAGGGTGAGACTAGAAGAAAGGACTATCTCCCCCTCTGGAATTTCCACCTGTGGTCCAATAACTTTGTGTAGTGCCAGTAAACCCTGATACTATGTATCATCACGTTGCTTTTCTATCCCATAGTTTGTGGTTGTCTCTGCCTTCTGGATGGCAGATTTACAGTAGAACTAATTCCACTGTACAATGGCTGAATTTGCCCTAGTCTCAGTAAAATAAAGGAATTATGTGCAATAGCTGCTGTGTCTGTATTACTTGTAAAAGAGGGTTATTAATATAGTATTAAGAAAAATGTAACTATTGCAATGAACATCGCCTGAGTTGCCAATTTTAGGTGAAACCAATCTCCTGTGCGTATGAGAGGGTGAGACTTAAACCAGGAGTACAGATACATGACTATACATACTTTTCAGAGGCCATACTCCCAAAAAACAGGACCAGAATAAAAATAAGTAATTGAATAATTACTAATTAAAAGCCATTTACTATAAAGTAATTTATACATGGGTAGCTCTATTGGGAACAGAAAAGGGGACAACTGGATAGAGGAAGCAAAAAAAAAAGCTCAACATGAAAGGCAAGAATAGGTCTTATTAAGGTTGATAAGAAAATATTTGTCAGATAAGCAGAGAAAGAACTCTGGATTTTGCAACTTGATTGGGGGAAAAAATCTCATTTGTGTGGCTCCTCAAATGCCACTCCAAAGCAGTATGCAACACTTTGAAAAATATTGTGCATCCCACATGATGTCAAATACAAGATACAATATGTACAGAAAATACAAGGACATGGATAGGTGGAGGAAAACATTTTGATGTGGGATTTTATTAAAAATATGGTCAAGAATTATCTGTATTGCATTCACCTCTGGAAACAATTCCAAAGTTTGAGCACCAGAAGGATGCTGAAAAATGCATTATTTGGGACTCTGCATATCTCACTATCATATATACCAGTGATGGCGAACCTTTTAGAGACCGAGTGCCCCAAAACCACCCTGCCCGCCATCCTGCCCCCCGCCTGCCTGCAGGGCCACCCACCTCCACGGCCCGCCACAGCAGATCGCCCAGGCAGCCCAGCAGCTCCATGGTAGCCACACCCTCCACCTGCACCCTGCATCATCTGCTTATGACGGAGCGCAAGGGCAGAGTCTTGTTCCCGCTACCCGGCTGCCGGGTCCTTGGCTGCGCTGCTCTGCGCAGGCCGCACCCGGGGGCAACTCCGGGGGGGCTGCTGGTGAGGAGGGGGCCATGGGGGGAGGCAGAGCTGGGGCAAACACACGCGTGCCCATAGAGGGCTCTGAGTGCCGCCTCTGGCACGCGTGCCATAGGTTCGCCACCCCTGATATATACTGTCAAAAGATGCAGCATTGCATAATTTCATATGCCAGAGGTTGACTGAGTGCCACTGTATAGACTGCCTCAGTAATTTAATCAAAATATAGCTTTAACATCTTTTTCAGTCAAGTTCCTAGTTTTTATTCCATTTTTTTTGTGATACTGTGATAACTTGAGATTCAAAAGGGCTTACAATTAAAGTACAGTATATTTCAAGAGAAATGGATATTGATTTAGGCTTACTTCCTGGGCAGGCCAATGACTTGTAATTTACAAGGGAAAATGCAGGCAGGCAGCCTTTATGGATTGTTTTCTTGTCTTTTTGCTTTTCTAAATCAGAGTTTAGCTGCTTCAATTGAAGGCAGAAATCAGAGTAGAAAGTTTTCTGAATTACAAAACAAAATTAGGTTGCCAAATTGAAAGTAAAAAGTTCTAATCATAATCTCCTTCACTAAAAAGCTATGCAACATTCCTGAAGTTGCTTTCTTTTTTCTTTCAACTTCCTCTGGTTCTTTTCCTAGGATTAATCTTTCCTGCTACCAGTAGTATGCTTTGGTGTATGCATCTTTCACTATGTCTGCAGAAATTGAGGCTGAACACGGGCTACTTTGCGCAGCTCCTTGCCATGTGTACTGGGACACTGCATTTCACACCAGCTTATTGGCACCATCTGTACACCTGAGATAAAAAAAAGTCAATATTTATATAGACATAAACTCCTGAGGAAAAAGAGTCTTGTGCTTTTGAAAATTACCCTGCAATTAATTTCTGATGTTGTCACAACCTTGCTATCTTTAAATTCAATAATTCCAGTTCAAAACGACTCACCCACAATGAATAGCTTTCACTTTGACACTGAAGAACAGCTCTTCATGTGGACTGGATATTATTCTAGATTTTCCCAATTAGATATAGTGACATTTATGGCATCCCTGATATTTCCTACAAAATCACATCTGCAGAGAGTTGAAACTTAAAAAGGTGCCAGTGTGTACATTTAAGTTATGGTTTTTCAGTTTATTCAGAAAATAATTGTTCTTACCTGCTTCACTGTGAGCCACTACTACTCCTAGCTCATTTTCTGCTGTGGTCAGCAAATAATTTGATTGTGCATCCCCTAAAGAGATCTAGTCCACAGGTTAAGAGAAAAAGTGAAAATTTCCACAGAAAATCACAAATGCAGGCAAAAAGACAACCGCAGAAAAAGGATACAACTTTGGCCAGAACAATATCTCCTGGCCGGAAACTCTTGTAAACTTCTATCTATCAACATATAAAGTAGGAGGAAAGAGAAAGCAAATGTCAAAATGCAAAGACAATTTTGAGGGACAAATGTCTCTGGCAAATAGAGCGATAAAACAAGTCCAGTTTGGATACAGAAAGGTTTGAAATAATTATGACATTTTTAAAAAAGTTAAGTGGCCCTTGCTTTAACCACAATAATTGAGACTGAAATTTCCATCACTGAGCGATGTAAAGTGCAATATCACGTGACCACACTCCTTGGCAATGGCATTCCCAGCAGTCTCCAGCTATTGTCATTAAGTGAATTACTATGGGCAGTTAAGCTAGGACAGGGGTAGGCAACGTTGGCTCTTTTATGACTTGTGGACTTCAACTCCCAGAATTCCTCAGTAGCCATGCTGGCTCAGGAATTCTGGGAGTTTAAGTCCACGAGTCATAAAAGAGCCAAGGCTGTCTATCCCTGAGCTAGGACCTCATGTGATCCAGACTTCCTGCCAGCTTCCTCATTGACTTTGCTTAGGGGAAGTCAGCAGGGATGATTGCAAATCATAATCAAAGGTCCAAAATCTAGGCCATTTGCCAAGTAACCGGATCATGATTATGTAAGTATGGGGAGGAGGGGGGCTGCAACACATGGAACTTTGAGGACTGCTCATAAAGTATCACTTGTTCAGTGTCATTATAAGTTCAAATGGTCGCTGAATGAGTGGTCGTTATCCATCGGTATTCTTACCCTCGGAATCAAATTACTATCCCAAATATGCAATTTTTGTTCCTAACAGGTTTTAGCAATCACCTGGAAACTATACCAATACATGTGGAATAAAATGAACATATCTGTAAGTTCATAGATATTAATGTAAAAAAAGTGCTTCTCTGCCATATTTTCTTCATTTGATATAACCAAATATAAAGCTATCTGACCTTGTCTTTCTCTGTAGCTCGGATATCTTCTCTGCTATAATGGAAGAAAAGATGAAATCGTAATTTTGCCAATTTCTTCTCTCCCCTCTTCAACTAATCTTACAGAACAAGGCAACTTTATCCCCCCACCATGCATCCTACTCCCTCCCTTCCCATCTTTTAGTTACAGTTGATGTTTATATTTTTACTGCATATGGGCTTTGTAATATTTTATCTTCTAATATTGTAAACCACCCAATTACCCTTGTGGTAAGGTGGGCAGTCAATAACTTTAATAGATACATAAATAAAATAAAACATGTATATTGTGTAATAGTATAATTTAGAAAGAAGTTAGCTAATTATATGAAAAAAATTATAATCAGCAGAGCTTAAGAACCAACAATATTTCCAATTCACATTATCACTCAAATATCAATGAGAATCAGATGGAATATTAACATACTGTAGTTTGCTTATTCTCTCATCACTAATGCCACCTTCAAAAAATGTCCACAAAATAGTTTTCTTCATACCGTATTGTTCCACGGAATGGGGATTTTAATGGTGTAGAACCAACATATAAAATATGCACCTTAGCAAAACGAGAATTAATACTGCAAACCTGAAAAAAAAGCAATTTTTAGCAATGATCTGTTCTCTCTTATAACTTCAGGATTGTAATTGATAATACTTCAGTTCTACATAATGAAAATAACCAAGCTAGTCTCCAAGCTGGGATATATAAGCCTTTTCTCTTTCTGCAACATCACAGTAGGCCTGCTAAATATTGAATGAAGGGACTAAACAACTAAAAAACGTAAATAAAAACAAATGTAGACAGCAATACTGGCAATATATTATGATTGTGACTTAGGTTTCGCATACTCATTTTATTGTAGGGAAAATGATCCCACATTTAACCAATACCAGAGAAAGATTAGACAAAAACCTTATCTGTTTCATTCATCACACTGTTGGTAAATCTAACATGAGCTTCCAAAGATGAATGAACTGCAGGGGGGGGGAAACCTACTCTTCACTTATGGGTAAATACAGCATTCTACCCATTTGTAATACCTTTTATTTTCTTGATACCAATTGCTGGGTTAAAAATAACAATGAAATTATTAGGGAAATCTGCTGATTTCCTTCCTTACCTTGCAGGTCACTATGGCTCCGACATCGGGCAGTAGCTGAGATTCCACATCTCTCATCACAGAAATTACCGGGAGCTATAGGGAGGGTGCAAAACCAGCAAGATTCATCCATGCATTGAGCTACCACCAAGAGATAAGTTGAAGTTCAACCCCTTCTGGATTGCCTGTATGTCATGTTATTCAAGACATGCAGTCCTTATCATTATCCCTCCCACTGTCATCCATAGCATATACTGCTATATGCAGTCCTTGTTTAATGATGTTTCACAAGTTATAATGGCCTATGGAAAGGGTGCTTTACAGCCCATAAAACACTTCTGGCTATTGCAGGGGTAGGCAACCTCGGCTCTTTTATGACTCGTGGACTTCAACTCCCAGAATTCCTGAGTCAGCTATGCTATGAAGTCCACGAGTCATAAAAGAGCCGAGGTTGTCTACCCCTGGGCTATTGTAAAATGTTGCATTTCCCCCCCCCCCCGGTCATATGACTGCATTTTAGGCACTTGGCAGCAGGCTCAAATATACTCAATCATGGTCACATGATTGCAGTGTCCTGCAATCATGTGACCATAATTTCCAAGGTTATTTTTACTGGTTTCCAGCATCTTTTGCTGTTTTTGGATTCAGACTTATAACCGCAGGATTCATTTAACAAACATGTGATTTGGACTTATAATTACATGATCAGCTTAATGACTACTGTAAGTAAGATTGGTAATAAAATCAGGTCCAGTGACATAGGTGCACGCCTTACAACTGAAATCCCAGTCACAATTGAGACGTTAAGAGGCTGAGGAGTATTTCTATGCAGAAATATTGATTCTCACCATGCCATTCTCACTTTTCTTCACGAAACAACCAGCCAGAGAGGCAAAGATAGAACCATGACGTGTATAGGTGCCATTCCCAGGGGTTCCTTCTTCCAAACTGCAGAGCCGCTCTCCTGTGAAATAGAAGGCAAGACAAAACAGCTTATTTTCCCATTGCCCCATCTTCTCGTATTCTAAATACTCATTATCTGATTGCTCTCACTGGAAATTACTTCCTCTGTGACATCTGTACATGAGTTTGTGTGTAACACTAATAGATACTATAGATAGAATAAATGAGTAAAGAAAAAAAATAAGAACACAAGAATAGCCCAACTGGATCAGGCCAATGGTTAATCCAGCACTTTGTTTCTCATCATGGCCAAACAGAAACCTCTGAAGTGTTTTCAAGCAGATGGCATTATACCTACCTGCAACCAATACTACAGTAGAGGCATGGAGTCCCTAATCTGGAGGCAACAATACATCTCAAAACTGGAAGGCTTTGATTAATGTCATCCATGAATTTATCTAATCCAGGGGTTCTCAACCTTGGCAACTTTAAGACTTGTGGACTTCAATTCCCAGAATTCCTCAGCCAGCTTTGCTGGCTGAGGAATTCTGGGAATTGAAGTCCACAAGTCTTAAAGTTGCCAAGGTTGAGAACCCCTGATCTAATCCCTTTTAAAACATCCAGATGAAATATTTTTGTCCAATCCTGTAGAAATTAATTCTGCAAATTAATTTTGCACTATGTAAAAAACAATACTTTCTTTTGTCAATTCTAAATGTCTTTCTAATCAATTTCATTGGATGGCTCTGATCCTAATATTTTGAGGTACAGATACTTTTGTTTTAGTACTATCTGCATGGTATACATGATTTTGTACATCTTAATCTTGTTCCTGCTCAAATGACCTTCCAAAGAAAAAAATCCTACATGTTCTAGTTTGCTTGATTCATCGGCAAGATGTTTGTTTTCTACATTTTTTTCCAATCTATTTTATATAATTTTTCTCAAAACGCATACCAAAAACTTGTCCATGGGCATTACAATTTGCCAGTTTTAATTTCAGTCTGTTTCTTAATGATCCCTAGGTATGAAGGTGATATCTTCATTGAGTTATCCACTACGATTTCAAAATCAGTATCAACTGGAATTTCTTTCATGTATTCATAGTTACTGTGTTTTGCCTAAAAGCGATTTAAATTGAATCACACTTTATTAGTGTTCAGCTATTTTAAACAGAAGGGGACGACAGAGAATGAGATGGCTGGATGGAGTCACTGAAGCAGTAGGTGTGAATTTAAATGGACTCCAGAAGATGGTAGAGGACAGGAAGACCTGGAGGAATGTTGTCCATGGGGTCGCGATGGGTCGGACACGACTTCGCAATTAACAACAACAATTTTAAACAGATCCTTCTGGAACTTTTCATAATCACTTTTGCTTTTGATTATTCTAAATATTTTAGTATCATCTGTAAATATGGGCAGTTCCTGTACTTATATTTAAGATTATTAATGGATAAGCTTAAAAGCATTGGTCTCCGCATGGAATCTTGAAAAATTCACTCCTTATTTCCCACTTCCCATTTCTAATTTCTGCTTTTGATTTTTTTTTTAATTAGCAATTCTTAAGAAATAGGTCCTCTTATGCCACAGTTGCTAACTTTACTCAAGAGCCGGTGATGTAGAACTATAAAGGTTTTCTGAAAATCCAAGTACATAAAATGCTCGGGTTGAAAGCTTTCCCGAAGCATCAAACTAAATCACTGGAGAGGAGAGAGGCTGCTAGATTAGATGGTATGGACCGATAAAATGTGTAATATTCTGTCTAGAACCAAGAAAGGTCTCTGCTAGATTTTCAGACAGGGCCGAATGGCCATTTGTTGGGGAAAATAGAGGATTCCTCCACTGAACAGATGGTTGGTCTGGATGATCAGATTCCTTCCAGTTCCATTCGTAGATATATTCTATGAACTAACACGCCTAACAAACCCTATGATCACGGTTATCCGTGTCCTACAAACCAACTCACCCAGCCCCAAATTCAGCCTCTTCTCGCTCTGGGGCTGAAGCAAATGCCAGACATTTCACCCACAAGACTCTCTGGAGCTGGCCCAGGAAATTAGCTCTCAACCAAGGAGCAGCTCTTCTTAGAGCGGACCCCATCCCGCCCTCTCCCGGTCACCCACCAGGAACACAGTAGCGCGCAGGAGCCATGCCAGGCGACGGAAAGGACTTCGCGCTAGGCCGCCTCTTCCCCGCGGGTGGCTGGAATTTTCATTGGGCGATTCCACCCTCACATTACTTCCTCCAAGCACACGTTCTTCGGAATACCAACCCACGACCGAGACTCGGATGTTGCAGAGTAACTGTAACTAGAAGGCCGGCGGAAAAGAATGGCCCTTGAAGCGCACTGAATGATGGGAAGTGTAGTTTCAGTTGGCTTAGCCAACGTGTAGTCGCGCATGTGCGAATAAGAATAAGGAGGAAAAATGATGCCGGGAAGGCTCCGGTAGTCGAGGAGGGGTCTATAGCGTGGGGTTGACCGAGCTCCCAAAATGACAGCTCCAGGTAAGCAGGAAAGAGTTGAAAGAAACCTATTTTCCAGTGATGTCTATTGGGTTAACGCCTTTGGGTTCCACCGGCTGGCGCCTCCAGAAGTTCCTGCATTGCTGTTTAGGGCTTAGCCTTCTTGCTGAAGTCTCTGATAGTACCGTGTTTTCTTGCGTGGATATTGCTTGTTGCTGTGAAAAGAAGCTGGGATGAAGTCTCCTTCGCGGGCCGAAGAATTGCCTAGCCTTCTTGAAATGCATGCTGGCAAGATCTCTTTAAGATGCTTTGTTTTCTCGCATTTGTAAAGGGACGATTAGCTGAAGCAGACGTGCTTTTATTTCTTAAACCCTGGCCCTCTCCAAAGAGTCCGTTGAATAGATGCGACAGTTCTTTTCTGCCTCCTTCTCCATCTGCGGTTTTTGTTACCAGAGTCATACATGTGCCTAAATAGCTGAGGTTTGCACAGAGGCGGAGTTACAGCCCGAGCACCACCTTGTTCAACTTCGAAGAGTCAGGAAGTGTAACAACCTTTAGAAAGCGGTCCATTGGCTCTTCTTCGCGGGTTCCGTTATGTCGTGGGTGTCTTGGTGCAAATTTGGTTGGCAGGCACACAAAATACTTAAGTGTGAGCGTAAATCTACGATATATGCTTACATGATTTTGTTCTATAGCCTATGTGTGCTTATTGCATGAATGCAAGCATTTTGGCCTGTCACAATTACCAGGGTGTTCTAATCTTCCCTCTCAATATCCTACCTCAAGAAAACTAATTGAGATCTGTTCTTTGTAAATATTATACAATTATACAATGATCTGACAACATTGCTTTTTAGTGGATATTTTTTTGGACAAGAACTGTACTACAATATTATAGTTCCTACACCTGCCAAATGAAGTGGATTCAGGTAATTCTTGACTCACCATGAAATATTTTTGGGCGAGAAACTGATATCCCTGCTTAATCTGTGCAGTCATATTGTATCTTTACAAAGGATGGGCAACCTTTTAATATTCAGGGGGGGATTATTGTATTTAAAATTGATAGTGGGAGGCCTGAAAATTTGAGCAATGATGGAATGCAAGCAGACAGATTTAGATTTTTCAGGATAGTCGATTTTTATTGTTTATAATTTTCAGGTTGGTTTTGCAAGCCTAAAGCTTTCCGCATATTTATTTGGTTGATTTCTTCTGAACTTAGCAGGAAGCCACACTCCTGCACTTGGTGAATTACCCTCAAACGTCAGAACGAGGTTCCTCAATACCAAAGAAAGAATTCCACTCCATATGCAAGGATAAAGTTAAAAGTAAATTATATATTTTCTATTAATTATAGCAGAACTCTTATTTGAAATAAGAATTGAAGAAGAGAGAGATATTAAGATTTTGTTGGCATAAAACCAGTAATAGTTGCTGCAGTTTTAGACAGAAACATGTGGGTCTAATTTTACATTGGCTAAAATTTAATTTGATCTGCCATAGCATCACCTTACTAGGATGCTTTTGGCTCCGACAGAGGACTTCCCAGAGTCATTCTCACTTAATATTAATTGGCCAAGATCAGTTTTCTCCAGAGCTGATCCAGCTCAAGTTCCTTCCTGCTTTTTGATTAGCAGCTGCTTGATGCTGGAGTCCTACAAACAGGTAAAAATCAAATTTTAAATAGTTGGCCTTCCTTGGTAGCCATAGGCTAGTCTAAGTGGGATGATTTGCTCCAGTGAGGCAGAGATGCCAAGGAAGAGATTAGTTTTGAGAGGGATTAATGATTATGGAATACTTTGGTATTTAGAAAAGAGAGATGAAAGCAATGACCTTTTAGAAAAAATTCTAACTACCTTATTTGTCCTTAAATCTTAAAGTGCTGTATATAGTATATCCTATTCAACGATATTGGGCTAAATTCCAGTTATTTCTTAACAGTTTAAATGATATTCACGTTGGCTATAGAGATTATAGAGAACTGATGTCCAATATCTCAGAGAGGAGCCTAATCCTGGATTAGGATTCCAGACCATGCCAGTTTCATCGGCTCTATTATCCTCATCATTTGCTGTATTTTTGGCTTCCTCTGAGTTCGTTCTTTTTCCCCCTTTATTATGGTTCTCTGCAGTTATGCAGGGGAAAAAGAAATGCAAGTATAATCATAAAAGATGTGTTATTTGGGCAACTGTCAAGCAGGTTCTGAGTACTTCTTGCATTCTGAATACAATAAGCATGTGGTCTCACACAGTGCTTTTTTTCTAAAAAAAATAGGTGCCAGAACTCACACACGTCATACAACCCGCCTTCCTTACCCTACAAGGTTCCATCCAAAAAAGGTGCCGGAACTCCGTTCTGGGTGTTCTATGAGAAAAAAAGCCCTGGCCACACAAGGCATCTTGCTGTTCAGCCTAGGAAAGTGAGCAGAAGCATCAGCAAAGTCACAATCCTCATTTCTGTGTTATTATCCCCATTGGTATTATGGAAGAGAGCATAACTCTTCCACTACTGCTGTACTGGAGACATCCAAAGTGAGAGTGATTCCCCAGCCACAATGCTAACTGCAATTGCAAAGATTTCTTCATCTACTTGCAGTGAAGCATTACCTAACAAGATGACAGTGGAGCAGTACCCAGAGCACTGCTCTGAATGTCTGGTGCCAAAGTTTTCTCACCAAGCTCTGTCAAATACTTTCTGACACTTCCTCCTTTCTTCCCAGGTTCTGAGCAGCAGGGATGAGGAGTCGCCGGCGGATGTACTCCGCTGTCATGCGTCTCTTCCTGAAATGTTTGCGGATAGGTCAGCGGCGCCGGTTCTGGCTGACCCAGCAAGTGGAACAACTGTGGCTATACGGGCATCTCTGCCTGCGCTCTCTGTTTTACAACTCTTTTGCTGATGGCGACACAGCTCTTGATGCCCTCTTTGAGCCTATATACTGGCTGGTAGATCATGTCACTCGTTGGTTTGGGGTGGTGAGTACTTAGAAAAACAAAAGTAAATTTGGAGTTTAAGGAGAAATATTTTCTGCATTAATAAAGTTACAGCTCCAGTTTTCAAGCTACATACATAGCTATTTCAAACTACTAAGTAAAGCCAGGAGATTAAAAAAAAAGAACTGAATATGTGTGAAGACGTGACATTAGGACTTCATAGAATCTGTTTACTATCTCTTTCAACTTTCCAGAAAACAAGAAGGGCTTAGTTAAGAAATGTATCGGGCACAGGCCCTTTCTCTTCCGAAGAGCAGATTTGGAATATAGTGTCTTGCTAGCTCAAATTCTTTTATCCTTTCAACAGGTGTTTGTAGCTCTGGTGATTACATTGACCAGTTCTGTGGTGGGCATAGTATACATTTGCCTCCTACCAATAATTATCCAGACCTACCCCATTGCCTGGATCTTCTGGCACGTTATCTATGGTCATTGGAACCTTGTCATGATTGTTTTCCATTACTACATGGCTATCACTACTCAGCCTGGTTATCCACCTCAGGTAGGACAGAGGCTTTAATATTTATGTTTGGACTTCTTTAGTATTTAGTATTTGTTTTATATTCATAAGCAGGGCAGCTCAGCCTGGTTTCCTATCTTTTTCTGTCTACCTGGGTTCACACAACTTAATGAACTATCTTTCAGCCAACCACATTTCAGCCTTGTGTGTGATGCAGACCACAGTGTTAATTTATGATTCAGTGTGTTGTGTAAACCCGGAACATTGGACTCAGTTAACTATGGATAAATATGTTATGGAAACATGACCACTAGTGATTTTACTATGAAATGTCATGGACCCAAAACAACTGGTATTGTTCACATGCTGTGAACAACACATACTCCAGAGTAGTGTTTTTCAATTTTGGTGGCTTGAAGTCCACATTCTTCAAGTTGCCAAGGTTGAGAAACACTGTCCCAGAAAGCTTCTGATCATTATCTTTGGTAAGAAAGAAAAAGACAATATCTTTGCTACTCAGTAATACTTACAATTGATTTTAGCCAAAAGACTGAGAAGCAATGCTCCATCATGTTCAAAAACTGTTGCTTTTCCCTTCCTACAGCACCCAAAGAACGATCTTGCTGCTGTGTCAATCTGCAAGAAATGTATTGCCCCCAAACCTGCCCGGACCCACCATTGTAGCATCTGCAACAGGTGAGCCATCATTGTGTTAATTTCTTTCATTTGCCATCTATAGTTTTTTTGGGGCCATCCTTGTTATTTGGGAAACTTTGAAAAGCTCTACTCTAGTCTTAGCCTCTTTTGTTGCAAGGCCTACGGTGACCCATAAGAGCTTCTGCAAGTCTCATTTCTTGCTGCTTCATCTCAAATTATGAAAATTATTAACTAGGTTTGCTTCTGCAAATCTGTGAACATGAAATATTAGACATACAACTCTTGTCTAGCAGAAGTTTTTAAGAATTTTTAAGAATCTGTTAGTCTTCATTCTGATTACCAGTTTCCCTTCAGTGTATTCCTGTTTGTTATATTTTAATCAACTGCTCAAATAGTTGACTTAGAATAATACAACATGAGCATCCAATGCATGTATTTATATGGTGCAAAGTTTCTCTGAGGTAGAAGTGAAGTGTTAATGGTAGCATTTTTTAATCTCATAATTGTCTCAACAGTAGGACTGATTTTTAGAAGAGAATATTTGTAGCTGAGGGTTGAATTGGTGAATTGTGGAGACCTGAATGCTCACTGAGCTTGTTTTCTTGCAGACCTTTCAACTAGATAACATCATCAGCAGTCTAATTTTCCCTGTGTTGTGTTTCAGCTGCGTTATAAAATGTAGAAGTGTGATAATTTTTTTTCCAAAGTGAAATTTGCACTGACACAAAAAGCAGGGTTGTTTATAAGAAGAGAAAAAATTACACAAATCCAATAAATTCCTGTGTATTGATCTTGTATGAGTTCCGTTAACCGCTGGGGTTACAAGTATATTCTAGCTTTAAAATCTAAATCTACTTCTCTTTCTCCTGTTGAATTTGAATTTTTTTGTACTCTTCAGCAATTAAAAAATATTTAATTTCATCACCTAAAGCAATAAACACTAGACATTTGCTTTCAGTTTTTAGAAATGAAAGTTAGCATTTCCAAACAGCTAACCCTATACATTTTACTTGTGTTTATGCATCTGTAGAGTACACACAGTCTTATCTTTGGGCACAGAAACTTAACATTAGCTTTTGTAATATTAATTATAAAGTAATCAATAAATACTTCGTTATTAATCATAATATGTAAGCTGCACTGAATTCCATTTTGCTTCTGGGTGCAATTTAAGGTGTTGTTTGTTATCTATAAAGCCCACATGGCATAAGGCTGGGTTACTTGAACAACCGCCTGTATTCTGTAACTGCTGACTGGTTAGTTCAAACCTGCAGTGGTGTATTCCAAGTTTCTTTGAGGTCATCTCTCTGGACCTCAGAAGTATGCCTTTTCAATAGCAGCAACTGCACTCTGGAAGAGGTCCCCCCCCCACAAGATTTGGATGACCCCAATTCTCCTGTTTAGAAGAGCCATGAAGACCTGGCTCTTCACCCAGGCAGAGCGAGACCTTCTCACCATCACACTAGCCATCTTTCTTGCATTTTATTGATTTTATTGCAGTTTCCTTGATTGTTACGAGCCAAAGTTATTGACAGTAGGGTAGTATACAAGCTTAATAAATTATTATTATTCCCAAGACTGGGAACTAATGATCATAGTCCATTAAGTCTCAACTAAAGGGTAATATGGCCTTAGCCTCTCGTTTATTTCATTTTTCATGCTCTGTGCTTTAACTGTTCTTTTGTTAATAGTTATGCTGCATATCAACAACCCTTTTGTGATTAAAATTAATGCTGTTCCCCTCCCACAGGTGTGTGTTGAAGATGGACCATCATTGCCGTATCCTTTTGCAGATCTGCAATAGGACCAAGGATAATGAATCAGGTTCAGGTGGACTGAAGAAATCTAAGGGATTCTGTTCCCAGAAACAGAATGGGATCTCTTGAAAATGTGGCCAAAGCAAGTGATTGGGGAAAAAAAATTCTCATTTTAACACAAGTGGTTCACGTTGAAGGTCCAAAATGCTGTGGGAATTAGGCATGAGTAGGTTTTGTAGGCTGGGCTATTTTCTGTTGTAATGGGAAAAGGTTGGCTTTCTCCATGGAGTTAAAGATCTTTAACCTGAAGAGACAGCATGGCTTAACAACTGTGTGGGACACTACAATCATCGCTATTTCTTCTCCTTCATGCTTTTCATGACCATGGGCTGCATCTACAGCAGTGTCAGTGGCTGGGACATGTTCTGGGAAGCTTATGCTGCCATTGAGGTGAACACAGGAGGCAGTCTGTTTTCTTTAGGGGAAAAGGCCTTGAAACGTGCAGAGGTGCATATAGGCCAGTGATGGCGAACCTTTTAGAGACCCAAGTGCCCAAACTGCAACCCAAAACCCACTTATTTATCGCAAAGTGCCAGGGCTGCATCAGCATTGTGGTGCCCTTGGGGGGCATGGGGGCGTGGCCCACTGGGTGGGCATGGCTGCGGTTGTCACGGCAGACTGAGTGGGCGTGGCTGGGGTGGCCACAGCCACCTCGATATTGCTCATGGGACGCCTGTGGGGGCCAGACAGGGTTGGGGGAGATCCAGGGGGTCTCTGACAGGTGGGGTGGTGGGCAGGAGGCCTAGAATAGATGGGGAGGCACGCAATCCTAGCTGGGACTGGGGGGCCATGGTGCCGATGGGGATCCGGCTTTCCCTGATTGGGGTGGCTTTTGGCTTGCAGGGTGTGGGCGTGCTCTACACTTCTACAGCTTGCTAGCTGGCCGCTTCACCTCCTTTGTGCTGGGTGGGGCTGCCGCTCTGGGCAGCAGCAGCGGCCTAATGGACCTGTGCAAGCTGCTAGCAGTGGTGGCGTGCATGCCCACAGAGAGAGCTCTGAGTGCCGCCTCTGGCACATGTGCCATAGGTTCGCCACCACTTATATAGGCCAAGAAGAATTAAGTAAGGGTAACTGGTGGCCTTTTTTCCATCCGATAGAAAATGAAACTACTTGACAAGGAGAAACTGCACGTGACAGCCAATCAGGTGGGGTATCTGCTCATCAGCTGTTCAAGTCAAGGACAGGACAGGGCATATAGTTTACCATTTTAGTTCCATTCTGATTCTACAGAAGTGATTGTCATAAAAATCCACTGTTAATTTCCTGGGGAGACACACTCCTTCCGTTCTTGCTCACAAGAATGGAACACCATTCTTGGCATTTTGTCCCTATACATGGAGGGAATATTTCCAGAACCAGATTGTTTTATCTGCTTTTGAAAGACAAGTGCTAATGGGGAGTAAGGAAAATGTGTCCTGGGTCCCAGTGCTCTGCCCATCTCTCTCATGACCATGGTCTTTGTGCCCTAAAAATGTATCAGGCTTGCTTGTTGTGCTTTCCATCCCAATTTTTTGTCCTAGAAACCCCGTTTGCTTTCTTGCATTCTTACTTTCAATTGTGGCAACATCTGCTCTTACTTGCAGACTTACTCTCAGACACCACCACCCACCTTTTCCTTCCGCCAGCGAGCTTTTCACAAGAGCATAGTGTATGCCTGGGTCCTCTGCAGGTAATTGATCTAGTTCTTTGGTGGAAAGTGCTGGGAGGGGAAAAATCTACTTCAAGAAACTTCCAGAATACTGCCAAGTCAATTTTGGAGTGTCCCAGTTTGCATGATGCTCCATCATTCATTGTCTTTACAAGTCTTCCTCTTAGCAGAGTTTGACATCCTTGTTTTTTAAACTGCTCTCTCAGTTCAGTAGCCTTGGCGTTGGGTGCCCTCATGCTCTGGCACTCAGCCCTCATCACCCGTGGTGAGACCAGCATCGAAAGACACATCAATCGCAAAGAAAAAAAGAGGCTACAAAAAAAGGGCAAGGTAAGGGAAGAGGCTGAATCTCCAAAAGGTAGAAAGAAAAAGGGAGACAGGCCCACTCAACTGCTGACTGAAAGTTCTGTCTAGAATGCCTTTTAAACTTACAAATCTTTTAGATTTGCCTGTTTCACTTTTCTGTCTTCTAGGAACACACAGCATTTTTACACTGCAGTTCATTGTAGCTTTAAATTTTATGCTACTTTATTTGGGTAATTTTAATGTTTAAAATTCTATATACATATTATCACCATATAGTAAAGGGTTTAACTGATTTTTTTCCCTCAGTTGTTTCTATAGTTTTTGATGGTCTCTCTTATAAGATCTATGCATCACAGATAAACTATAGATGCCTTTCTTTACTAGCAACTTAGAATTCATCAAGTAAAATTCAGATCAAGATACAAGGAATTTTCTATGGGCCATACCATCGCATGCAATAGAAGGGATAAGGAGAGGAGTTAAGATGGACAGTGTTTCTTACGTACAATTACTTAGATGGGATGGTAAAAATTGGCAGTTAAAATCTTTGGAAGATTTAGCACAAGAAAATATTATATACTCATGGTTTCAGTATAGACAAATAGTGGATAGGTGGAAGATAGATCGCAATGTGGGTTTGCTTAAAGAAGATGAGAATTTGTTAAAACAAATAAAAGATCAAAGACGAACTCACATTAAGAGAATTTATGGGGTGTTAGTAGAATTGGATTCAGAAGCAGAATTAGTCAAAGAATGTATGATTAAATGGGCACAAAATCTTGGTGAACCAGTTCTACTAGATACCTGGGAAACTATTTGGGTGAGGAATGTCAAATTTACACAAGCCCAAAACTTAAGGGAGAATTTTTACAAAATGTTTTATAGATGGCACCTTGATCCACAAAAAATGTCTCGTATGTATTCTGACTTAACAGCCTAAATGTTGGAGATGTGGATGTTTGGATGCTACTTACTATCATATCTGGTGGTTGTGTAAAAATATAAAAGCTTTTTGGATTAAGATATGGTGGAATATTCAAAGAATTTTTAGAAGGAGGGTAAAATTTATCCCACAATTGTTCTTGTTAGGTATTGTTACTGATTGTGATACCAAAGAGACTACATTGATGTTAAATTTAATTACAGCCGCAAGGTTGTTAATAGGGCAATGTTGGAAGAAGGAATCTTTGCCTACTTTGCAAGAGTGGTTTTTTAAAGTTTCTTATTTGGCGGAAATGGCAAAGATTTCGGCTTTCTTGAAGGATCAATCGCAAGAGAAGTATTTTGCGGTATGGAAAAAATGGATAGATTTTATACAATATAAGTTGGATATAAAAAAATATTATTTAGTTTTTCAATAACTTATATTTAAATTTTAATATTTTATAGACTTTATTTTTTTATTTTTTTTTCTTATATCTTTTTTCTTTTTTCCTTTTCTTTATTCTTTCTTTTTAAGCATTTTTTTTCTAATATTTATGTTTTTTATACATACATTATTGTTAATTATCTTATAATTTGTTTAAGTAATGTATTTAGATTTATTTATGGTTTATATCTTTTTTAAAAATTTTTGAAGAAATTTCAATTAAGCCTATATTCAGCTCTGGGAAGGTCGGGGGAGAGAATGGGAGGGTCGGGGAGGTTTGGGCAAGGGTTGTTTTGTTTTTGTAAAAATTTTTAAAAATTTTCAATAAAAAAAAAAGACAAGGAATTTTGAAGGCAAAAAGCTGTTTCAAGAGCATTTTTTTTTACTATGGTTGACACTTTCAACACAAAAATCCAATGTCAATGAGCTTTCTTTATTGTATATTTTAAAGCTGCTTTGTATGCAGTTTTGTTATTGTTAAGTATCTGAAGTCCTTGCCAATCATACTGAAATACACACACCTTTTCTCCTCTATAGAGGAAGGAAGAATACTTGAGTTAAAATCAAAATAATTGAACAGTATTTCATTCTCCTTTTTTCTCTTGGCTCTAGATATTTCGAAATCCATACAGCTTTGGTCCACTGGGCAACTGGAAGGTTTTCCTGGGTGTCGAAAAACAGAGGTAACAAATGTGCATGTACTACATATATTAGAATAGGATGGATGTTCCAGTTGAGGGAACAAATTTTCATAACTGGAATTACTTAGACTCATAACCATATAGTCATTGTCTAAGTACCTGGCAATTAGAAAATGCTAATGGAAGCAATATTAAAACTGACTTGCATGTCTTCCTGTACTACAGGTAGTTCTTGATTTACAATTGGGACCAAAATTTTGATTAAAAGTCAAGGCGCCACATTACCAGACTTGATTTTATGACTTGTTTCTATGATGATCAAGCGAGTTACTATATCCCTTAAACAAAATTACGTGGTCAAGTGTGAACCCATTTTATCGACTGGATATTTTTTGACGGAAAATGGCAAAAAAATTTGTAAATGCTATCACATGATATGGGATGCTGCAACCAATGTGAGCTGGTTGCCAAGCAACCAAAATATGATCATGTGACCACAAGGGTAGTATGGCAATTATAACTTCAAGAATGGGTCATAAGTAACTTTTGAGTCCGTTATAACTTCAAATGGTCATTAAACAACCAGTCATAAATTGTGGACTACTTGTACATATTTCTTACTGAAGCCCTGCTCTTTTTCCCAGACACTGGATCACTCGAGTTGTACTACCTTCCACACATCCCCCTTATGGATCTGGCTTGAATTGGGAAACTCCTCCCTGTGTTGCTCAACAGAAGACGCCTCTTTTGGCAATTTGAGTTGGATGAAGAACAAAGTGTACCAGCCAATGGAAGACTTGAAACCACAGGCTTCTTTCATTGGGAAGCATAACAGAAGACATGGTCCCTAAATTGGCAGGCTAATATCAGAGTGGCATATCTGCAATGAACTGCTCATCCCACAGGAGACCGGAATACCTCCAGTTGCAGTCAGGGATCTATTGCCTGTATCTGTTTTGTTTTGCACATAGTCCAATGGGGCTGGAGCAAAGTATGGTCAGTTTTGAGAAGGGGCAAGTAGTTCTTTCCATAACTCAAGGAAGTTAACTGGCATATTAGGTCTTGTTCCTCTTTCTGTAAGGACTGAGATTTTTTTTAACATAAAAATAAATATATATAAACAATCATCTCCTCATTAGTGGGAAAACAGGCAGTGAAAAGATTTTAATACAAACCGTTGATTCATAACTAACAAGACTAGACTATTTTTTTTGTTTTTTAAAAAATAGTAATTCTTTATTTTTAATGCTGACTTCTGATTCAATAGTTATTTGAAGCAGCAAGCAGCATTGATACTAAGCAACATGTCCATTACCAATCTCTATCCAGGCTATATTCAAAAAGTTTTTCCAGTCAGTGGGATAAATTAATGTTTCTACATTGATTGGCAATACTGTAGTTCTTGCCAATTCAGCTGCAGCTCTAGAACATGTATGTTTCTATAACACACTTAACAAGGTTATTTAAAGAGACAGGAGTCTAGAGTTATCTTTTTCCCAATAGGCAGAAATCTGTATCGGATCTGACCTAGTTAAACCTTCACCAATATAGTACACTAATAATCAGAACATGGCACTATTGGCTAGTATCCCAACTCTTTTTATAGTAAAAATTACACATCCCAGTTAGCCATAATGGCCTTGCATTTCTCCAACTATTTATAAAGAAAGCACCAGATAAGCAGTTAATTCAGAGTATTGAAACCAAATAGTCAAGCATTTAAGCCTGGAGCGCCACAATTTATTAATTGATCTATGTTCAATGAACCGAACATCTAAATATTATTTTAAGTAAAAAAAAAAAAACCAGTTGAAATGGTGTGGTCTTTTAAACAGAACTTTTCAGCAGTCCTTCCCAGCTTTATATCCCAATATCTTTTACTCTTGTAAAGTACAGCTTTTTCCTAATATTCACAGTAGCATTCACTATCACTGTGCAGTGATCTATTCTTATCCACGTTCTGTTGCAGTTCTGCTATATTCATTGATGAGATGTCATTCAACAGTACTAAATCAAGGATTCCTGTTTCTTAACAGTGTCTTTTACAGCAGGGAAGTATCCTACTGTTAAGGCTTTTCAAAATTAGATTGAATAGGAAATGCTTCATAAAAATCTAGGTGGAATACTATATTCGTACTTTATAAAAACAGCACTAATTAATATAAGAAAGGGATTAGTTGTTGCCAATTTTACATCAAAACAACAGTTTCATCCTGATGGCTAAATACTAAACTAGCTTGGAACTGTTCAAATCAGCATGGTGGATGATATTATACTCACACCTCCCTTACCATCCTCCCTGCTTTATTTCAATTATTTCAGATAATTTTTTAAAATAAATGGGAGACTAGCTTACAGCAAAGAACCAGGCTTCATCATTTTTATTTCCAGTATATTTTTCAGCTCCAAAAGTAGTCTTAGAGAATAAAAATGATGAGTAGTTGCAGCCCAGCACTTTTGTTTCCTAAAGTATCCAACTTATTAACACCCCCCCCCCCTTGCAGAGACAGCAAGTGGCAATGTATAGTTGGTAAATTGGTGTTTTATAGAATACCACATTCCTATTGTCAATCATACTCTCAGCACTCTAAATGAACCTTACGTCTGCTTTCACCAGTTTATATTTTCTCAAATGTAGCTACCCAAGATAGCTAAACAACTGTCTAAGTAACCCTTTCCATAGTTCTTGCCATTTGTATTTAGAATAATTCTGAATTTCATAATTACCCCAAATTATAATAATTTATTTTATGACTACATGCATTTCATGTGTGCAAAATTATTATAAATGAAAATTGTTTGAATTCCTCTAATAGATATTCGCTATGATTTATAGTGGTTAATTTTTATGCCACTAAATGAGGAATATAAGAATGATGAAGCATGATGAAGAATAGCAGAACTGAACTCACTTTGCTCAATGTCTTTCCCTTAAGAGGCATCTTCTCCAGAAGCTTTCAACAAATGGGTTATTTATTTTTCTAACCCCACCTACTGCAGGCAGGAGATTCTGCTACCTCTATGCCATACTGCACTGCAGTAAAAAATAAGGCTTGAAGGTTGCAACCACTGTGGTTAGGATTCCAGCAGCCTATAGAAAAGGCAGCCCACCCCTAAAAATAGGAAGGAAACTCCTCCATTTTTGTCCAAAGCTTTGCTGAACTGCAAGAAAAGTGGTCCAAGGCAAACTGCACAAAAGATTGTCAATCAGGATTCACAGAGTGATGTTTCACCTGCCAGGTGTCCCAAGCAGAAACCTGTAAGGAATAGATCACAGAGTTAGATGAGAAGAGGAAAGGATACATACTGCAAACCATGCTTTCCAAAGCTTATTATCAAAGACAAATTATTCAGGGCCATTTTAGCATTGTATGACTAATTTTATTACAGAGGCTTTTTAAACAGCTGATATCAAGGAGGCCTAGTTGATCAGGGCTGCTATTCAAAACAAAAGAAACAGTACTGCGGAATAATGTAAACCTTACCATTCTCCTCGTGCTATGACAGCTTCTTTACGTACAAGGCGCTTTTTGTCATCCAAAGGCTTGGCCAATGCGCGAATGACTCGTGGCTTGAATGGGATCACCTGACAAGAATTGGAAAGCATCACTTTAATGAGGATTTAGCTACAGCCCCACTTATGAACTAATGAGGGAGATGAACTGGCAAATTACCAGCCACAAGTGCTTTCATCACTTACCACTGGGGTAGGTAAGGAGGCAAGTGCATGGAGGCATTGAAGTGCAGCAATACGGATTGCCTGCGGCACATAAAAGGCATGTAATTAACCTTCTAAGCTTCTTCCAGATAGAAAAGGAGAAAATAATCTGAGAAAGGAAATACTACTCTACTCACCATGGCAGAGTTGTCTGTTAGGTTAAGAAACTTGCACACAAGTGTGTCGATGTGGAGATGCATAACATGAGGTGCATCAAGTAGCAATGGCTGTATGCAACGTAAAGTTGAAAGCTGCACCACATGGTCAGGACATGACAGAGATTCTAGCAACAGAGGCAGCAACTGTGGGAATGGGCAAATAAGAAGGAAAGGGTCACATTTCCTTTACTGTTATACGCTTGAATTTAAGGAATCCCCAACAGGTAAAGAGAACCTTGGCCATCGTTTCACACTCACTGTAGGCAGCTCTGTCACTAGCACTGGCTTGGGCAAGTGATTTAATATGTGAGACAGGCCTTTCAGGTAATTTGGTTTCACATCTAGGAGGAAAAAGACAGTTTAGTTAAGATTTTTCCAGAAAAATATCATCGCAACATCCATTTGCAATGGATTCCAACAGCCACAGACCGAAGCCCGTAGTGAAAACACTTGTTGACAGCAAAGAGAAAGCCACCTCATTTTTCTATTTCTCAATTCTTTCCCTAATCACGGAGCTGGCCAATTAAGGCTGCAAATTCTCCTGTCTGTCCCTCAAGCAATAATAGAAAGCCCAAACCTTGCAAGAAATAAATAAAGCAGGAAAGAGTTCCTTTTCTCCTATGGAGAGAGTATACTGACCAGGAAATGCTTTTGAATAAAACATAAAATTTCTTACCAGGAGTGGATGTGTGGAAACTTTGCACCAACTGTGGCACACAATCTGTGAAGAAGCGCTGGCGGAACATCAGGCGCACCTCAGCATGACAGCTCTTGCCCAATACATCAGTAGAATCAGCCATGAGCAAGGCAAAGCCATCACCAACTGCAGGGCCAAGAACAGTGTCCCCCAAAAGCTGGAGTAGCTGTAGAGCAAACAACAGCAAGACATGTTTAAGGAAGAGGTCAAGGTATTTGGCCTTTATGACAACTCTAGCTTTTCTCTGGAGCTCACCTTATCAGTCAGCTGTGTGATTAATGGGTGGTAGCGTAGCAGCAATGCTTTACTCACCTGCAAAGACAAAGACACAATAAACTCTGACACTAACATGGAGGAAGGATGAGTGTGCATACAACATTATGCAAACTTACCCACAATAGCAGAGTAAGGGCCTGGTGTTGATAGGGACCTTCATTCAAGCCTTGTTCCAGCATTTTTATGGCCATTTCCAAGAGCTGATCTAAGTGTGGCCCTGAAAACAGTAGAAATAGAGTGAGCAACTGTTACACTTGTGTTACACTTTCTCACAATTAAACTGAGTAATATGTAGCACAATCCAGTTTTAGGGTTTCAGTAGCATGAGTGTATTACCCTAATTCTATGGCATTCACTGTTTTATCTAGGTATTACCTTCTGGGTATTTGTTAATCAGTCCTGCAAAGCATTTTGCAGCAGCAGTAGCAGTGAATGGGCAGTCACAGGAACAGCTAAGAGCTAGTAGCTCACGCAACAACCGATCCTGTTGAGGAATTACCACCTGCAAGGAAAGCAGACATTGCAGAAGGAAGGAAGGTAACAGCAAACTTTCCACCAGCACACTGGCTTCTCGCCTTGGCACCACATAGTGCAGATCTACTCTCAAGTAAATTTCCAAATGTTCTTGATCTACAATATTCAGAATCCCCATCATCTGCAATGTTGATTAGTAGGATGGAAGTTGATGTGTAGATGTTTGAAAGACCATAAATTATCCCACCCCATTCTCTAAAACCCTGCTGAAAATTCTCCCCAGGACTTACTGTTCTTGGCAGTGAACATACAAAAGCCATAAGGAGAGCAACCAGTCTTCTTGGGGCTGCTGCTGGACATAGCCCATCCTGTAGAAAAGACATCATTTTTACTAGGCAAGTTATCCAGAAATTTTTAGGCACACTTTTCCATACAAGAGCCACTCTGGTGTGGTGCTTAAGGTGCTACATTAAAACATAGGAGATCATGAGTGCTAGCCCTCCCTCAGGCGCAGAAGCTGGCTGGGTGATCCTGAGACTGTCACTCACTCTCGGCTCAACTCACTTCAAGGAATTGGTGATATGGGGAAAATAGAAAGAGGAAGCTTTATGTACACCACCTTGAATTGCATCAAATAAATGGTTAGCAGAGATTAGGCTCAAATACCTGAAAGGGCTGAAAAGAGCTGAGATAGTTGTTTTCAGTCAAGAAGGAAAGTTCTCCATCTAGGAAGAGAGGTACCACTTTTGACACACTCTGAGCAGCCAACCTGCCATGATATAACAATTGACACTATATCAACACACAGAAATGTCAGAGAGTAGTGAGAGAGATTACCAACACCTCTCCTAATCTTGGATCTACATCAAGCAGAAACCCAGTCTTATCCAAATGAAATACTAAATTGTACAGCATCAGTAACCACAGGAAGGGACATGTTACTCACTCTGGGCTTAAGTGCATGCAGGCTGCACTGATGACTAACACCATGGATGACAAAGCTTCTTCTGTTAGCAGAACTTTGTTGGGTGTTGTTTGAGAATTTTCTGAAAGTGGTAACAGAAATTGAGATGTTAATTCTTATTGGTTCTTTTCAGGGGTCCTTCCAATGTATTGTTAATGGCTGTTTCATAGAGAAGAAATTATAACATAAGAAGCAGCTCTGAACAGATGAAGAAAGAATAAAGGGCAGCCCAACATATGAATTTAAATACACAGAACATCTCTCTTCTTGCTCAGAACTCAGAAGTATGAAGACAAACAATAGCATTAGTCAATCTAGGACTGGAAAAAAACAATCCAACCTTAAGTACAGGTACTGCTTTAGTTGAGAGGGTGTAAAACCTTGAGTATTTCTGCCATCCTACCTTCCAAAGCAGCCTGCACTGCTAAGCCTAGCAAGCAGGGCACCACCGCCTGATGGAAGTACCAATATGTCTGAACATTTTGCTGGCATTGAAGGGCGACCTGTTGCAAGCTGTG